ATTATGGAAGGAGTGCTGAAATATGTTGAATGCTTTTGCTCTGTCCATTGAAATATAATCAGGTTTTCTTCCTGTCTGTTAATATGGTAAATTACATTAACTTTTAAATATTAAATCAGCCTTGCATTTTGGGATAAACTCTAGTTGGTCATGGTTCCTTATCCTTTTAACATAGTGCTAAATGCTATTTACTAACCTTTTTGAATCTATGTTTATAAGGAATATTAGTCTGTAATTCTCTTCTTTTGTTTTCATTATGTTCTGCTATTTGGGTAAGACTGGCCTCACATATCAAATTGAAAAAAGGGTCCTGGGAATATTCTGCGATTCAGAAACAAAAAGCAAATCACACACTGACCTGTGAGCTGGAAATCGATTCACTGTTGTTGTTGTTGTTTTGTTTGTTTGTTCTTTTTTTCTTTTGCCTCTCTGAATGTGCCAGGTTGTGCATTCTGAAATCTTTCACAGGTTCTGAAATAATGGTAAAGAGATGGTGTTCTGGCAGGGCTATATATTGAGGAAAACAGAATCAGCTGAAAGTGGGTTTGAGTCAATTGCTAAATGAAGTCAAGTTTGCGCAATTGGTTTGGACATAAGATGATTCATTCTGTTCCCACTTTGTACAGAGCTTTTCCTTTGAAATATTGCTTTTCTTTTTGATAACATTAAGAGGAAAAAATTAGTAGTTTATGTAGTTTTAACAACTTTGAAAAGGAAGCTAACATTATTATAATTAAGCAGACATACACTGGACCATTTTTTTTCTTTTAGTTTTCTTAAGATAACTAAACTGTGTGAGTTTGAGTTGTATGGCATAATGACTTGACTTATATATATTGTGAAAGTATTATCACAAGTGTAGTTAACATCCTTTACCTCACACAGAGACAAAAAAAAGAAGAAGAATGCCTTTGTGTGTGTGATGAGAACTTTTAGGATTGACTTTCTTAGCAATTTTCAAATATAATATGGAGCATTGTTAACTATAGTCATCATGTTGCACATTACATGCTCAGTACTTATTTATCTTATAACTGGAGGTTTGTAGCTTTTGACTACCTTCATTCAGTTCTCCTTCCCCTGCCTCTGGTAACTACAAAGCTGATCTTTTTTTTTTTCCATGAGTTTGGTTTTTTGTGTTTTTGTTTTGTTTTGTTTGGGGGGGGATTGGTTTAGATTCCACATAAAAGTGACATGTACTATATTTGCCTTCTCTGTCTGACTTATTTTACTTAACATCCATGTTGTTGCACATAGCAGGATTCCCTTTCTTATAGCTGAATGTTATTCCATTGTGTGTATATATGCCATGCTTTCTTTACCCATTCGCCTGTTGACGGGCACTTACTTAGGTTGTTTCCATGTCTTCCCTATTATAAATAATGTTGCAGGAGCGCCTCGGTGGCTCAGTCATGACTTCAGCTCAGGTCATGATCTCACGGTCTGTGAGTTTGAGCCCCACGTTGGGCTCTTTGCTGACAGCTCAGAGCCTGGAGCCTGCTTCGGGTCCCTTGTCTCCTCTCTCTGCACGTCCCCTGCTCACACTCTGTCTCTCTCTCTCTCTCTCTCTCTCTCTCAAAAATAAACATTAAAAAAATAATGTTGCAGTGAAAATGGGGGTTTAGGTATCTCTTTGACAGTGATTTTATTTCCTTCAGATTTATGCCTAGAAGTGGAATTGCTGTATCATACCGTTCTGTTTTTAATTTTTCAAGAGAACTCCACACTGTCTTTCATAGTGGCTGTACCAGTTTATAGTCCTAGTACAATGCACAGGGTTCCCTTTTCTCCACATCCTCACCAGCATTTGTTTTTTCTTGCCTCTGTGTTAGCCATTTTAACAGGTGTGAGGAGATACTTCACTGTGGTTTTGATTTCCAGTTCCGTAATGATTAGTGATGTTGAGCACCTTTTCAAGTGCCTCTTGGCCTTTGGAATATATTTTTTGGCAAAATGTCTTTTTAGGTTCTTTGCTCATTTCTAATGGAATTATTATTTTTTTTTGCTATTGGGTTGCAAGAGTTATTTATATATTTTGGACATTAACCCCTTATCAGATAAATGATCTGCAAATACTTCCTCCCATTTCATAGGCTGCCTCTTCATTGTGTTAATGGTTTGCGTTGCTGTGCGGAAGCTTTTTAGTTTGATGTCCTACTTGTTTATTTTTATGTTGTTCCTTCTATCATATCCAAAAATTCATTGCCAAGACCCCTGTCAAGGAGCTTTCTTCCAGGTCAATTTTTCTAAAACTTATGTATAATACAGGCTACTTTAAGAGAGGAATAAATGGTCTGGACCTCATGTGTTGCGTTTTATTATTTTTATTATAATTTTATTTGACACTCAGGAAGAAAGAACTATAAACTTTTATTTTTTTAATTTTACACAACTATAAAAACAGCACACATGTTAAATATGAACAGAACTTTGAAAACAATGAAATGCTAAGTTAATAACATTAATTTGATGTAAGGGGTACTAGTTTTGTGGAAACTAAATTGGTTCTTACAATTGGAATATAGTTCTCTGTTTCAGCACGACTGCTTTGGAGATAGCAGGCCTGGGTTCCTAGGTGTCATGTGATGACTTAATTGTTCTGCCATTTTCTTCCACTTGAACTTACATGAACCGTTTGTTCATATATCACTGGCTACGTCATTTCAGTATTAAGTACACCTCTGTGCCTCTATTCTTTTTAGCTAGAGATCACAAAGCACCATTCAATACCAAGGCAAGTGGAAATGCAGGTGGTAAAATTATGTACCAATTTCTAGCCTTAAGGGCCTAATCCAGAATACCCAGAATTTGGTCATATCAATTTATTTTAGATTATCACTAAGAATGCGTCATTTAGAAATCTCCTGTGCAACTCTAGACCTTTGAGAATATGAATCACTGTTGCTGATGGGCCCAACAGCACGACGTTAAAAGTCTGAAAAGCGGAAAAGACTGGAAGTGTTACCGAGGCCTGTAGGCCCTGGTGATCCTGTCAGAGCACATGGTGAATATTTCATTTCTTAAGTCCTGAGGAGTTAGCATGTGAAAACAGGGGAGCCAGAGGGAAGCTGGTCTGGGAAGGTCAGGATGGCGAAAATGCACCAGGTGCGCTTGCTAAACCAGGGATGTATGTGCAGCCGCTGGCTTCTTGTGCTGCTCGCCCGACATGGGCTGGATGTCTTGTTTATTGCCTTTCACATTAAATTTTTGGATTCAGGTGTCGTAGCAGAGACGTGAACCTGAGGCATAATAGGGTTCTGCCTGGTGGTGCCACGGTATCATTTTGTGATTTCGGACTTTTGCGTCCAGGGTTTTCTTAAAGCAAGACCCATCGTCAGTAAAACAGGAAGTGTTTTTCTTTCCCTGAAATGTTAGACTTGCCTTGTGTGCGGTGTCCCGGTTTACATTAAAAAAAAAAAAATTGTAGTGAGAACGTTTACCATGAGATTTACCCTCTTAACACACTGACCCTCGTAACTGTGTAATACAGCACTGTCAACTGTAGGCATGAGGCCGCCCTGCAGATTTTTAGAACTTACTCATGTCTAAGACTTGATGCCCCTTGAATAACAACTCCGCATTTCCCCCTCCTCCAGCCCCTGGCCACTACCGTCCTACTCTCTGTTTCTCTGAGCCTGAGTGTTTTCGAAACCTTGTAAGTGGAATCATGCAACGGTTGTCCTGCTGTGACTGGCTTATTTCACTTAGGACAATGTCCTCAGGGTTCATCCCTGTTGCCACCTAAGGCAGGATTTCCTTCTTTGTGTAAGGTTGAATAACATTCCGTGTGCCCTTTGGACGTGTACTAAATGCACCACTCTGTCTTTCAGACCCACCCAACCCAACGGACCCCTTGTCCTCTCTTGTCAGTTCTCTAGCCTCTTGTAATTTCCCAAATGCCTTCATGGCTCCCATCAACTGGGGCACAAAGAGAGTGAAGGGGGAACCCAAGCAGGGGTTGAATAAGGCCTGAGCAGGAACTTGCTGGAGGAGGGGCAGGGGGCAGGGCTCCCACAACCAGCTTCATTTCCTTTGTCTACTCATCTTTTGACTTTGTCCATTGGGCCTGGCCCTGCCAGTCCACCTGGCTACTGCAGTGGGCCTGGCCTCCCCCTTGCTCTCTGTCCAGGCCGCACCGTGGGCAGCTTGGCAGTGGACAGCTCTGTTTTCTCTGAGCATGAGCAGAAAGGGTTTGGGCAGAAGGCGACGTATGTTTTGTGAGATTCCTAAAGCCTATGTTTGTAAGCCCATTGAAATTCCATACAGAATACTAGCTGAATTTTTCTAATCTGCAGCCTCAAGACCCGTAGATCCCACATTTTGTGTGTGGCAAGTTAAGTGGTAATTGAGGTTTGCAAATTTTCACGTAATTTGTTCTGGTTTTCTTCCAATGGCCTGTGAGCTAGAACTTAAATACAACCTCGTCGTAGCCGCTTCTTCCTGTTTAGGGAGCTGGCATAATATTTTGTCTTCTAGGCTCAAATAACCATGTAATTACTCTGTAATCATATAGTAATTAGCATGTACTATATGCATTTATTACATAATTATATTCCTGGAGGAATTGCATGGCAATTATACTTACATTCAGCATATCATTTTATATACTGCATAATGAACAAGTATATAATTTGTTGCTTTTTTCTTTTCTCCTAATTTCAGTTTACCGACCAGGAGCTGGAAACTTATTCTCCTGTTGCCTTGTTTACACGTAGTCAGGCAGGTGCCTAAGCAACCTTCCCTCGTTTGGCCTCGCTCCGTACCGCCTAATTATGCATCTGAGGGAGCACTAGGGACTTGTGGGCTGCCCTGGGTCCCCAGCCTTTGCACACCTTCTATTTTCTCCTTGTCGTGAACTCATTACCTATTCGCTTCAAAACACAGAGTTGATCAGAGCTCGCCGCAGCGCCAGGGAAGAGGCCGGATCTCGGTGAAGACAGGCAGTGTGCGTGGCCAGGCGCCCGGCACTGCGATCACACCTGCCTTTCTCTCCTTTGCAGTGGAGCACGTTCCCAAAGGGAACAACTGCCTGGACGCCGCCAAGGCCTGTAACCTCGACGACACCTGTAAGAAGTACAGGTCCGCGTACATCACCCCGTGCACCACCAGCATGTCCAACGAGGTCTGCAACCGGCGCAAGTGCCACAAGGCCCTGCGGCAGTTCTTCGACAAGGTTCCGGCCAAGCACAGCTACGGAATGCTCTTCTGCTCCTGCCGGGACATCGCGTGCACGGAGCGGAGGCGGCAGACCATCGTGCCCGTGTGCTCCTACGAGGAGAGGGAGAAACCCAACTGCCTGACTTTGCAGGACTCGTGCAAGACGAATTACATCTGCAGGTAAGCGGGCTCCGGCAGCCGGGTGATTAACGAGCCGGCGAGGAGAACCTTTGTGGCGGCTTCAGTGGCCAAGCTCCTGTTTTCTGAGTTTCAGAAACGGGAGGGGGGATGGGTGAGGCTGAGGAGAAGGCAGGCGGTGGACCGGATTGGCCAGAAACTGACCTCTGCGTTGACACAGGGTTTTTCAGAAGCTGGTCAGGAAGGTTCCTCTCATTAACTTGGGGAAAGCTTTGAGAGGTGCTTAGTAAGCACAGAGGGTCACCTGAGGCCAGGTGACTTAACGGCTTGTGCTGGCTCAGCAAAGCTCTGAGCTGCTTCCAAGGATCTTAACGGGTTAATTGGGTCAGGGGAGGGGTGGGCTGCAGATATGGGGGCTCTTGACTGTCAAGGTCTGAAATCTGGGAGAGACCAGTGAGAGGCACTGTGTCCAGCCCTGAAGAGAACTTCCAGAATGCCTGGGTCTGTTCTGGGCCGTGTGTCATCCCTGCAGCTAAGAAAAGTGGGCACCCTCTTGTTTGGTCATGCTTCTGGATCTCAACCCGCATCAGAACCCTCTGCTAAGCCCTGCCTTATTGCTGAAAACAGTACCTTCCTTTTCCTTTTTGGCCACATAGTTCATTTATTTTAATGTCTGAAGGAATCCACGAACACATTCTCCGTGTTAAAAAAAAATAACAAGGAATAAAGAATTAGGTAGCTGCCCCCTCCCCTCTGCTCCCACTTGCCCTCAGCCGCCACTGTCAACAATTTGATGTGTGTCCTTCTAGAACTTAGGGTTGCATTCAGTTGCTGATGGATGCAGGCAGATTTTGATAAGCAGAGACCTGAGTCTTTGCAGCCTGAGGCGATGATAGTGTTGCGTTCAGACGTGCAGGCTGGATCCCGGGCTGGAGGTGCGGACGGGGCGTCATTTTGACGACAGGTGCACTGTATCCCCAGGGTAGAGCCAGGAGCCTCCAAACACCATCTCTGACAAAATCCTGTGCACTCAACAAATGTTCACAGGTGGGCAAGGAGATGAGAGGGTGACTGTGTACTTGTTTTCTCATAGGCTCCCCATTTCTAAAGAGCAGAGAGCAACGGTGGGGGGGGGGATGTCATATTTTGAAGATACTGGTGAGCTGAGTTTCTGGCCAGTTTTATTCTGATAGAATGACAGCCCATTCTTCGCTTAAACTAGTTCCAACAGTGACCAAAGACAATTAAAAATCCTCATTATCTGCAGGATTCCTCCCATGCTGAAGGTTTTTCTGGAAGTAATGTCCTTCCCCTTGTTGTTGTTATTGTTGGGAGCAGGTGATTTGCCGTGTGGGGAAGAATGTAGATGACCCTTTGTGCCCTGGGATGAGCCAGGTGCTCCCACAATGCACTTCTCCAAGGACTCTCTCACTCTGAGGCCTCAGCTCCCCTGAGATTTTTTTTTAAATTTTTTTTTAACGTTTATTTATTTTTGGGACAGAGAGAGACAGAGCATGAACGGGGGAGGGGCAGATAGAGAGGGAGACACAGAACCGGAAGCAGGCTCCAGGCTCTGAGCCATCAGCCCAGAGCCCGACGCGGGGCTCGAACTCACGGACCGCGAGATCATAACCTGAGCTGAAGTCAGCCGCTTCACCGACTGAGCCACCCAGGCGCCCCTCCCCTGAGATTTTCTTAGCTATCGGCTAGAAGCAGGGACACAGCTTGCTAGAAGGAAGGGGCAGAGCCTGTGTCCAGCCGTAACCTGGGGAAGCTGGTCAGCCAGGGAGTAGATGACCTCCCTGGGGGAGATGAATGTAGCTGAGGAGCAAGGCACAGGGGAGAAGCTGTAAGAGCCGGTTGGGAGAGAGCAGAGATTCATTTTTTTTAAGTTTATTTATTTATTTTGAGAGAGAGAGAGAAAGAGGGATGTGAGTGGGGGAGAGTCAGATCGAGAGAGAGAAAAAGCAGGCATGTCAGCATGGAGCCTGATGTGGGGCTCGAACCCAGAACTGTGAGATCATGACCTGAGCTGAAACCAAGAGTTGGACTCTTAGCCGACTGAGCCACCCAGGCGCCCCAGGAGCAGAGATTCTGAACTGCCCTCCTGCGAAGACTCCCGGATCTGAAACTCAAGTTCCTGTGCCCCCTTTAGTCTTCAAACAGAAGAGATCCCTCTTCTGGGTACCGGACTTGGCTGAAAGCCAGCCAGCTACAGCTCCTCCCTGTCTCTACGGTAGATGTTACTGGTGTTCTCTGATGGGTCCAAGCCAGGTGGCCTCAAGACAGGAAGCTGTATGGGGAGGGCACGGAGCTGTGGGCGAGCCCAGCGAGCCGTGGCCGGGAGGTGGGAGAGGCGGGTGATGATGGAGACTTCCCTTATCATTGTGAGGTTTGTCTCGCAAGCTCCGCAGGAGATCTCTCCGCAGCCTCCTCCTGCACAGGCTGAGAGCCCATCCTGAGCCCATTGCCTGGCCTGCTCTTCTCAATGTAGAGAATCCTCGGAGAGCTGGTGTGAATTACCCAAGTGGGATTGCTTTTCTGCTGAGCTGTAGTGAGAAATAGCTGGAAATTTGGGAACTTGGGGCGTTCTGGGGGAGATGGCAGAAGGAACGTGCAGAGAGCAGGGGGCTCAGACTGATCTACTGAGAAAGTTCCAGGAATTATTTGTGTTTTGAGACAACCTCAGCAGCAGAGAGTGGCCTCAGCGGAACGGGGCAGAAATGTACGGGGGGGGGAACAGCGGGGACAGTCCTGCCTAACAACTGACGGTGCCCGGTCACACCAAGGTGGGGGGTGCAGTGACCGCGGCTGCCGTGCAGTGGGGTGGTGGCCTGAATAACTGGCAGGCTGTTTGGAAATCCAGATGCCGGATGACCCAGGGGCCCTACCAAGTGAAATTTGTCTCAGTGGGAACTGATGGGCTTTGTAGCCTGTCTTGAGTCTTCCCTGGGAAGGTGAATCAGCAGCTTCCCCGGTGGTACCCATCGCTAAGTTATTTAGCCTATAATTTCTTTCCAGAGCCTCGACTTCTTACTGAGGATTACCTCCTCCCTGTCAGATGTGGTAAATGTAATTTAAGCTGCTGGGGAGACTAGGGGTGTTTTCTTTCATCAGATTTTATTAATCTTGTCTTTAATTTATGCCTTCTTTCGGTCTCTCCTCCGTCCATCCTGATGAGGCCCTTGTAGTTACTACTGCCCAGAGTAGCGGCTGGTACTCCCGGGAGCTGGGGCTGCCTCGGGGTTTCGCGTTACAGGTACCCTGACCCTTACCCACTCAGAGAGAGGGAGGCACCGCGGATAGGATGACTTAAGACCTCCTTGAAGTATTCCCAGAGGAAAGGGACAGCGAGAGGAGACATTGCTTCCTAAAAACAGTTTTCTTTGAAAGCTCACACTTTTCAAATGCTCCGTTTGCATCTCTACATCGGCGGCTGTCAGAGCTGCTCCGGATCATTAAAACTCCCCTGCACTTAAGAGTTTCCAACTCGAGGCACACGGGCTCCTTCCGCCCGGGTCCAGCGGTGCCTCTGCACAAAACCTGTCTCTCTCCTGCCCTGTGCCTTCAAACAGACGAGTTGCAACTTGAGGCTTCCCTTTTGACTCTTTTCTTTTTTTTCCTTTCCCTTTTAGAGAAGCTGACCGGTTCCTTTCCTCTTGGGGTGGTTGGGGCCTCCAAGCTTGTCTACAGAAAAGCAAACGCAGAGGTATTATGAGGAGGGCGTGATGAAAGTTAAAAGGCTCACCTTCTTCCCCTGAAGCACATTGCCTCCCTTGCCAGTGGACCCTCTGATTCCTTTCCTTGGTACCTGGAAAGCCAGGAAAAGAGGGAGCTTAAGGCTACTGAGCAGCTCACCGCCTGTGGCTCTCAGTGCTGCCTCATGGTGTTGCTGTTGAGAACGACCTGGAGGAGGCTGGGTGGTTTGGTGGCTGTGCCCTTCTTGGGCCATTCTGCACAAGCCATAAAGGTGCTGCATCCTGGGGCACCAGGGGAACTCTGTTCCTACTCAGTATATAACCAGTTTCCCAAAGCATTGACATTGTGCCCTGGGGGTGGGGCCCTAACAGGTTCCAGCCAGAGCCAGCCCACCGAGTCAAACACGTTGTATCTGAGACTTTTCGCTTTACCGGAAGTACATTTGGAAGTGAATGTTGCATTCCTTCTTTCCTCCCTTCCTCCCTCCCTTCCTCCTTTCCTCCTTGGCTGTGAGATCTAGTACCGTTGTCTGTAGGCACAGTGTGCTGTAGCAAATCTCTAAAACTCATTCATCTCGTGTAACTGAAATTTATACATACTGATTAGCGGCACCCTGCTCCCCGCCCCCCATCTCTCAGCACCCGTAATTCTGTTCTTTGCTTCCGTGAGTTTGATGACTTTAGATACCTCGTATAAGAGATATCATGCAGTATGTGTCCTTCTGTGACTGGCTTATTTCGCTTAGCATAAATTCCTCCAGGTTCATCTATATTGTCATGCATTGTGGAAGTTCCTTCTTTTTAAGGTGAAATAGTGGTTGGTCAAGGATATCTCATTCCTTCTAGAAAGATTCTGATAATGCTGAAGCTCAGAAGAGAGGGTATCAGGGCCTCTGAGCCCTCTGATCCCAAGGATTTCTTGGGGCCCGGCAGGAGATCTGTTCACTCCCCTGGCACCCTGGCTCTGTGCCCCCATAGTTTCCAGGAGTGGTGGCTTTGATCAAGTCACCAGGTATATGGTTCTGTCTTTCCCCAGGGACTGAGGATTCTATAATTGTGTCCTGGAGGCCTGGTTTTTGTTTTGTTTGTTTTTAGCAGAACCAGGAGGGCCTCTCAGGTACAGTTCCAGAGGAACAGCATAGGTAATTTTCAAAATACTGCCCTAGCCAGCACCACTTTTTCACCCTGGGGCTGACTGTGTTATACTTCGAGGAGATGTGTTGCTGTTAATCTATTAACTGGACAACCGGAGAACACATCACAAAACCACACAGCAGATTTCTGCTCCAGTAACTTACTTGGGCTGACAGTGTTAGTGCACCTTTAAAAGGTGAGGAGTGTTTC